GTCTTTTTACGAACTCATACACTGCATGATTTTTTAAATAACCTTTGATGGTTTTGACCTTTTGTAGCAATTCGATTTCAATTTAATTTTGATCAAAATAAATATTCTTAACTCAAACTTCAACTCTATTTCATAAAAAAATAAAATTGTTTAAAATCGTCTTTTATATAGACTCTAAAGTCATAGATCAATACACACAATAGAAACAATCTCTGCTTTGTCAAATAGTAAGCAAATAAATTTAATAAAAAATTAAACTCATACAAAATCTATGATATGCCTGTGCCGATCTCTAACCGCCCGTTTCCAAGGGCATGAGCCTTATGAGAAGAACGGGCAAATAAACTCATGAACTTAGTTTTAGGCTTTAGCTAGTTTTGTTATCTCCTTTCTTCCAGGATATGGCTTATTGTCCACTGCCACCACAACATTTTCTTCAAGCTTAGGTTGCACTATTTTTAAAAATTGTTTGAAATGTGTAGTGTCCATTACATACATTTTTTTTCACCCCTATCTACAAAACCATTTTCACTTCAATTTACAATACACACTTGTAAAAAACAAAATCAATATTAACAATTATTAAAATAACCTAACCTGCGCAAAAAGTGAAAGCATTTTATATTGTTAAACATAAAAAAAATGGGAGAGACCTATGTCCAGCAGTGGACTACGATAGGCTGATGATCAAACATAAAACTACCGATTGTAATTCCTTGCTGCTTTCTTACGAGTATTACACGCATTGATTTCGGCCTTTGTTATTCACGGACTTTACCTACCTATAATCAAGTTAAGAAATTTACATAATAATAATTACAAGTGATGATCCCACGAAGATAAAGAAGATTTCATAGACTTAGGAACGATAGATTTAGTAATGCTTACATGTGAAATCAATCGATCACTGAAATGATACTCTAAATATGAATCTTAAAACGAAACCACTTCCACTAAAATTAAAAGATTCGATAAATTTTACTAACCATCGCTGTCGTTGTCAAATGTTTGAGAATTCTTAGCATTCCCTCCACGAGTATCTGCAAAAGTGCATGTTCCAGTTGCTATACTAGTCTACAAAATATTGAAAATATAAAGAAGGAAAGAATAAATAAGAAAAAGTAGGTATACATCTGACTTAAATTACAGAAAGCAGATAAATTAAAAAATAATAATATTAATAACAGATTATATGTATTGAACACTACACATGACAAACAAACTAAATTAAAGATTGATATTATATTATAATAATACAATATGTTGGCGTAGCTAAGGGCCACGCTTATGTATATGTTTTAAGAAACACATCGCAGTCCCCGACGAACAAAATCGTAATAGGAAAATAACAATTTTACAGGAGCAAATAAAAACTGAATATCTTGAATACTAACAAGACTAAAAAGAAGATTCTTTTATCAAAAATAAGGAAATATTTTTTTGCACTAGATTTTTACTAAATTTTTATCATAAATTTTCTTTATCAGTAAGAAAATTGTGAAAATGTCCATTACTGAAATAAGCTATGGAAAAAATTAACGCAAACTAACTTTACGATAGTGTTCGACTGTAATCACAAATCGGTGTTGCTGTAGTAATCGTTCATTATGATATTGTTCCTTGGTAAATATTAATATACTTTATATTCGTAAAATGACATTGCAATCGTATTCGATGATATAACTGACTTTAATATTACGGTAAACATAAATTACATGCTTATTCGATGATCATTTTTAGGTGTTATAACCATTTCGGTACCTATGTATAAATTCTGATTCTGATTCTGTCATTTTTCCCTCGAACAATATGGTAATAGCCGCTTACTCTAAAATGTTGACTTTTGAGATTTGGTAATAGGTTTTTGCGTTATTGATCGTGTAAATATTTCACTTATGTTATACGTTGAACAAAAACATAAAGATCATTATTGAATGGATAAATCCAAAAGTATTCATCGCCCGATCATAAAAAAAAATCAATGATTGTAATAGGGTGTGTAGATAACGAATATCTAATAAACCCGATTCTATCGTAATAGCGATTACCATAGTGTTCGTCGGGGACTGCGACATATATGTATGTGCGTGTGTTATTTCGTATAAAACACTTATATAAAATAAGCATGAACTTTAGATTATTAATGTCTACATATAGCATCGCTCTGCAAAAAACTAAAAGAAATGAGCAGAGTTTTCAATATTAGTGTGCGTGACAGCCTTTACACTCATTTGACGTCATTCTGTTTTCCTAGTGTGCGTACAGAAATGATACCAGCTATTGTCAGTTTTCTTTAAAATAGAGAAAAATTATAACAGTGTTGAATCTATTTTTAATGTAGAAATATACTCTAAGAAATAACAATAATATAAATATGGGTTGAAAATTATTAGATCAAGACGTTTAGGTAAAACGTCTTGATTAACACGTGTCATTTTTTTTCACACACCACTAAATTAAACAGAGCTATGAAAGCTAGATTGAGTGAATGAATACTAATATACTTTTTTGTTGTAAATCCATACATATTATATAAAGAAAACGAGTTTTACTCGTCATTTTGATGAGATTTTTTTTATATTTGTGTAAGGTGATACGCCATTTGACAAAAAACAAAATCGACATCATCAACAGCCTTTAATAGTCCACTGCTGGACATAAGCCTCTCCTTAGAAAGGAGGTTTTGGCCTACTATACCACGCTGGCCAGACGGGTTTATATAGGGTTTGTGTCATGTTTTCCTTCTCTGTGCTTGTTGTTGTTCTGCGTAGTTTTTTCCCTTAGTTGACTCTTACAACACCCACGGGATGAATAATCGTGATGATTTTAACGAATAAGTTACTACTACGTACTAGGTAAGTGACTACTCTTTAAAACTCAACGTGACAAAGTTATGATGAATATTGGACATTCCACGAACTGGACTTTCTGCGAACTGGACATCCTGCAAATTAGACATTCCGCAAATTGGACACTTTGCGACCGCTGGACATTTTGCAAATTGGACATTCTGCACCTAAACTTAAAAAAAACACAGACTGAAACTTTTTTCAGATTTTCTTCGATCCAGGAATCGAACCTGATACATCTGCACATATACTATACATAGTTGCATGCGCTACAACTGTACCAACGCAGTTAACTCCAATTCATGAATTACACTCCAACTAAAAATCACTCACTTAAAAGTATTTGCTTTAAAATTAAAACCCTTCTAAAGATATCTATTCAACTTTTGCCGCTTTTGGAATGATACTAATTCACTATACATAACTACAGAATAAGGGGCAGTTACTGGTAATTATTACATACAATACATAGTACTTACGCCACATTTTTAAGGCAGCTTTGACTTAAGTTTATAAAAATGGCGAACACAATAATAATTTATTTTAGAAATAATAATTAATAAATAATTTTTTAATAATAATTTATTTTAGGTTTATTTTGCTGAAACAGATACCAAACAATGATAATCGAATCGTCCTTTCAATTTCTAAACACTTATCGCAGAAATCGTCATTACAACACAAAATATGAAGCAACGTGTGCGTATCCAAAGTCAGTATTTTTGATACTAAACGCGGGAAAAGCATTGAGAGGCCAACGGTTGGACGTTACTTTTTCCTCTGCTTTCACAGCTTTGACTGTCCATCTAGACATATAGATAATCTAAGGTAGGAACATTGACGAGGAGGGTACTAATATGTGATGTACAAATAGGTGTACTCTCATCACTTACTGCCATGGACGTAGCCTACTCCAGTACTGCTGGTTTTTTAAATGGAGCGTAGAGGCATGGAGAACCATCTAATGTGGGGGGAAAGTTGAAAAAGTGACCAGCTATAAACAGTAAAGAATAGTTCTAATACCAATCAGAATGGCGCTAGTGTAGCCACAGGGAATGACACGAACACAAACATGCAAACAAACATAGCAGTTATAGACGGAATGAAGTTGTTATACATCAACTTTACTTACTTTTACTTAATACTTTTATTTGCTGAAAGTTAATTACACGTTTTTTGCTGTCTGTAAAACACTGACTATTTTCGCAGTCTAGTACATAATATCTTATCATCATTTAAGCCAGCAAAACTTTACAAAATGTGTTTCTTTCAATGTTTATTTTTCTATCCTACTCTAACAACTTCTGGTTTTTAAGTTTTAGCCTGATGCTACTGTAGGTCCCCCAATTTAACGCATGTTGAAGGACAGTTTTCACACCCGGGTTCTCCTTACCCTTACCCTCCAACGCTTCAGTGCTCACCGTGCTATTGCTATTGATGCTATTGTTAACCATTTACAAAAACATTTTCATAAAAGAATTAGGTGTGTTATAAAATAATCTAATGCTTTAAACTAAATTTAATATGCTAAGTAAAACTTTAAAATAAACCTTTAAATGATATTTATGGATGATCTATTATTACATAGTGTGTACATAATGGTATTTTACTGAAAGGAAATGCTATCCGGTATTCTACAGTGGACCTGTATTCGGGATGTAATATGCTAACGATCAACCTTAGATCACCTGCAACTCAAAAGTCACAAGTGCGTTACTGCCCCTTAGGTACCTCCCCTCCATAATCAGGAGGTGGGCTTAGGCTTTATAACACCGGTTTTCTGTGAAGCTGTAGTATCACTTCGGTTGAGACGGCCTATTTGTGACGTAGCATAGTCTCCCACGGCAAAAGTATGTCTTTAAGAACAGCATAATACATACGTACCTTTCTATTTATTTTTGTTTTCCATATTTTATAATCGTTATTGTAGCTTAAAATATTGTGTAAGGTAATGAAGAAATAAATTAAAAGAAACATGTAGCCTTCGGTGGGACAAAACCACACAGGTGGTTGTGAAAGTTGTGAGAGTGATTCATTACCAAACGAGTATGTTAAGTAAGTCGGACCACCTTGTACCTTGTACCTATCAACGTTAAAATGCCGCGCGGGTTCGATGTTATAGGACAGCAAATACCTATGTATTTAAAATAACTATGATAGAAACAAAACCACGGTACCTTCCGGCTCAAATTCTTCGGCTTTTAGTCCTCTAGTACTATGCAGTCTAGCTGTATCTGAAAACGAAATAAATTATGTATATGCGAAATAATACATTATGTAGGCATTTTAATAATGCCCACATAATGTATTATTTAATATAATAACGTCAAATAAAGGTTTTTAACTTATTGTTGAGTTATTATACAATGTTTTTCCTCTAATTTTGTAATAATTTTTTCAACAGAGATTCATGATATTTATTGACTAGTTTTCAACAATCTTTGACAGTATCTAAGCTAAATCAATAAATTAAAAAAAAAAACCTATTTTTTAAATATTAATTATATTCAGATGTCTGAAACGCTTTTCTCAAACATCTTGGTTATTAATGATCAACGCTGAAGAACTGTGTAAGCCATTTCTTTTTTATACATGGGGAACCCCCTCGGGCCGTCACCCCACCGGGGTTTGCGGCGGGGCGGTGTGTTGGGATCGAACCGACTAAAACCACACGGTGTGCCACTCGACGTTCGGCACACGCAGACGTCACCCAATCGTCGCGGTTGGCTATTGTAGCTGATGGAGGGGAAAACCCGTCCCGTCCACCCGCGGTCACACTCAGGGCAATGAGGCAATTCGCCGGTAGCAAGTTGGGTCCGTGTGGAGGTCATCCTCTCGAGCCCTCTCCGCCGCTTCCTTCTGCGAGATGACGTCTTCGCAGGAGGATTCGTGTGCGCACAACTATCGCTACCGGACCATGGAGCGTATGATAGCCAGTAGCGAGAGATCCTCTCCGAGGACCCCAACGCTGCGACGCCCAATCAAAAGTGACAGGCGGGTCGCAATTCCCTCCTAGCGACCGTGTGCAGGTACTTTCCGAAACAGCCGTGCCCTTAAAGGACCTGCGTCAGTCGGAAGGAAAGGGTACCGTGCTGCCGCCCTGCCCAATCGGTGATGATCGGCTGAAGCGCCTCCACGGCTGCAAAGCCACCACGTGGAGCCTCCAGCCGGGATGACCAACGAGCCATCGTTTCTCTTCAGGCGGGGGCCGACTGCCACTACCCGCCCGGAACTCAGCCGTCCGCCGAGCACTTCCGCCTCCAAATCCCACGGGGAACTTCCAGCCAACTGCGCGTTGGTCGGACCTGTCGATACGGTGCGGTAACCGCGTATGGCTTTAACCGGTAATAGTCTCTGAGGGTGCCAGAGGCGTGCCCTATTCTGGGCGGTCAGAGCCACCGCCCACACCGGTGCACCGTACAATGCAATATTTTTTTTTACACATCTCACATAAGGCCGTCCTGATCCCAAAGTAGGCAGAGCCTGTACTATGGTAATCAGACTGCTGTTAAACATATTTATATATTTCTAAATACATACATAATATAGATAAATTATACATGCTCATCACACAATTATTTGTCCTGGGTGGGAATCGAACCCACGACCTCCGGCTTAGCAGTCAGGTTCACTAACCACTAGACCAACAGGCCTGTCAAGCCTTAGCCCAGCGCCTCGATGCGCCCCGACCACTAGAGATAGTCCCCTGGTGGCCAGGCATGCTGCCTCTTGAAAGTTCGCCCTACGGGCCGTACCTAAAGTGTCGTCGGCATAAAAAAATTATGTCCAGCCCGGGGGGAAACATCCCCAAAGCGAAGAACTGTGTAAGCCTGTACCAAACTGACTTTTACTGGAGATGATTGAAATTTAATTACTGAGAGAATAAACATATGCCCGCATAAGTGAGAGAATAAACATGCATGGTGGGAAAAATATACCTTTTTGTTTTTTCACATAACAAACAAATAAAAATTGCCAGCGGTTAGAGCCAACTGAGAAAAATAAATAAAGACATTTTTAGGGAGACCAATACATAATACCATGATAAAGACGCTAGTTAAAGGCGTGTATGTAAAAGACGTTCTCGCAAAAATAAATTTTATCGCTTTTTTAGCATTAAACAAGACGAAAAAGGTTTGAAAATAAAACTATACAAGAACACTTATGATAATGTTCCCTGAACTGTTTCTTTCCAAATGTTATTTTGTTGTTTCAAAGCCTCTTATGTTGACTAAAGTCCGATAAAAAAGCGTGTTGAAAATGTATTTCGAAACTGATAACTTCCTAATACATATTATTTTTACTAACTTTAACTCACTTTGTCTTTATTTGGTTAATTTGGAAGCTAGCTTACCATCCATATCATCGCTGTCGCTGCTATCTGAGATTTCAGCTTTGTCATGCTTTTCTTTACTCATGTCTTTTTTATCTGAGTCATCCTCACCAATACTGACACTTGAGTCTTCCTTTTCTTTTGATTTTCTGTCTTGATTAATTTCGGCACTCTCATCATCTACTCTCCGAAGAGAAAACGAATAAAATATCAAATATTAATATTTAAATTAGGTGTAATGATACACGTCACAAGTGTTTGTCGGAGTCCCGATTGGAGAAGACGAAGTTTAAAAGTTCATTTCTTTTCAAAAGATAACTTCTGCACGTGGATTTGACTCTTGTAACATATCACGAAGGACTTTTCAAACATTCAAACAACAGACACAATATTGGTTGATGGTCAGAAAACTATACGTGTATTATGTGTATACTGCGGTATCTAGACGGGCCTGTTGGTCAAGTGGTTACCAACCCTGACTGCTAAGCTATAGGTCATGAATTCGATTAACACCCTAGACAAATAATTGTGTGATTAGCCAAATCATTTGTTTTTCCTGAGTGTAATTTATCTATAACATTTGTGTATTTAAAAATATTTAAGTATATTTATCAGGAGTCTGGTTAACATACTACAGGCTCTGCCTTGTTTGGAATTAGGTCGTCTTGTGTGAGATGTGTAAAGCTATTATTCTTATTTCTACGTTAGGCGACTAATATGTCTAATGTAAGCTACAAGTATTGTAGATTATTTCTATTCGAATAATACCTTTTAAACGGCCCAAAAGGCAAGAGGAAAGAAATACGATTTAAATGAGAAATATTAATTGTAAGATTTTGAAATGTATTTTGCTGTCAGTGCTGAATACCTTGACTGTTTTAATATAATACATATATAATAAAGCTAATAAAATTACCCCAATTTCGTCTTGTTTCACTTAACACAGCCGTCAATAACAGAATCTGAAAAAATAAAAGTGAACACAGTTTGCATTGCGGTATCTCTACAAACTTAATAATAATACAAGGATTATTTTTAGTTCATATGAATACATGTATTAGAAAATATGTCTAATTAATTTATTAAACTTTATAAATAGGTATAATAAGTAAGGTAATAACGAAACAGACAGAAATGTTTGCAGGACGCTGAAATTTTACTTGGGACTGATGATGAGAATGTTTTAGCACTATAAAAACGTTTTAGCACTATATAACCCTTTGCATGAGACTTGATGAATTCTCGGGTCCTCGGTTTTTTTTGTATATTTGCCATATAAGAGGTCAAACCACCAAAGACTGTACGTATTATAAATCATCAGTGTAATAACAAACCAAAAAAATAAAATCTCAAGTTGTCGAATAAATTTCTAGATTTACTACAGAGTAATGCTACCCGCTGGTGACGAATTCAGATAAAAACCTTAAGATTCATTACTTCCAATATATTTTATTAACAAAAGGGATAACAAAACCAAGAGAGGAAATAAAAAATTATAGATCTAATGACTTATTTATATGGTATATTATAAATTTTCACAGAATTATCATATATTATACCATGTATTATAAGTAATACGGTGGACGAACAAACAACAGAATTTATAAAACAAATTCATCGGTGTATCTTTCATAGAAACACATACTGGGCACTGAAGTACGCAATGAATACGACTTTTGCATGTTTTCAATTTACTTGACTGTGTTTCTAGACTGATTGTGAAATATGGGCCTTCACTGAAGTATTTATAGCAAAATTAAAAAACGTCAGCAGTCAGTTTAGGACAGTAGATATAAAAAAAATGATATTTTGATGTCAACTGCACTGTAAGTGACACTAAATCACTTGACTTGATAATAAACTTTTAAAAAAGTAAGTATGTTTTCACAAACTTCAATAAGCTTACATCATAATGAATTGTAATAAACTGTATTCTTCATTCCTCAATTTTTCAAATCGGTTAAAAAATGATGGAGTGCTGAGGTAACAAACATTATTTTTAAATACGACCAAATTCAGATCCTTATCCTTGTTTTAAGTTGAAGTTCGTTAAAAAATGACCAGTTCACAAGACAAGCTCTATAGAAAGACTCGACAAGAAAGAGACAATACTGTAGATGGGAAAGCGAGATCAACATGAAAACCATCTGTGGAAAGAATTAGAGTAGACATTTAGCAACAGACGCATCGAGACGCGGACATTGCATGCTTTTTTACTAATAATTATTAGTGTGGTTAAATACCCCCAAAAAAAAAAGTTTAATTCTTACCGTAAAAATGAGCCATGTTCTTGGACTGGTTTTACCTAGCAGCATGATCGAGTTTAAAGACATTTCATAAGCCTTTGAATTTTATTATTGGTTGGCAATCAAAACACGTAACTTTCCGCTATGGTTTTAATTAGTGTGTGTAAAAAGAAAATTATTATCGTGCTATGTTACGGGGTAAAGATTAAACCTATCAATAATATTACTTACGGCTTTGCGAGTTAAAATATTTTTTTAAATCACAGATATTTTTTTTCAGATAGCTTGAAACAGACATACGCACGTGTCGACTCTAATACAGAGTTATCACTTTCGGAGTCCATATCAATAAAACACACACTTAGAATTACTTGTGTATTCCAGTGCGATCGCTAGACTAATGTGTCGTTTCATTATGACATCTACTAATTTTTACAACGGTTTTAGCCACTAGTCTCTTTTATTAAGAAATAAATTAAATCATTACAAAGTATTCTTAAATATTATAACTCAATATTCAAAATAAACATGTTAATGAAATTCTCCTTATTTAATATGAAACAAACAATATTGAACTGAAAATCCAGTATTATCCATAATATTTTCAACTACCATGCGTTCATGAAAATTAAGTCTCAACAAAAACATACAGGTAAAATCAAGCGGCGGAATCTTAGGCTATTAACAGTCATCGGGGCTTGTGCTAAATCACATCCATTTATAACGTAATATGAGCAGAGATAATGTGTGCCCCAGGCGTGACAAATTTACCAAGTTTTTCTGTTGAACAATTTCTAAATATAAATGGTTGAAATTGAGAGTAATTTAATCCATACGTCTATACTAATATTATAAATGAGAAAATGATTTTGCTTGTTTGTTATGCTTTTACGCCTAAACCACTAAACCGATTTTAAAACTTCTTTTAGCAATAGAAAGCTACATTATCAGCGAGTAACACATTATAACCAACATACACGCTGGTGGAGTCGTGGGTAAAAGCTAGTATTAAATAAACTGTGTTTCTGTTTCTGCAAAGATCACATTTAACTACATGCCACGGTACCGTAGAATACCTCTTCAATTTTTGACAATGTCTTCAGATCAATAATGTATCGATAATATCTTCCGAATATCTACATGATTATTCTCTAAATAAATTTTATGGTGTCACTTGGTAACGATTTCGAACTGTTAATTCTACTTAATTTTTTATTTACAACAACAAACCGAAAAGAAATTTTCAGAATTTCTGGGTTTTTGCTTGTTCTATAGCATTTTGATCACTTTGAACAAGCCGTCAATCAACCGTATAAACCATGAGAGAGCCATACTTCGGCACAGACGAGCAGGCACGACAGGAGCGATACAGCGCCCTAACAGAAAACCGGTGATAGGCATTCCATGGTGGATGGTATTTGAGGGGATTTCCACACAGAAAGAGAAAAAAAAAGATGCCCATGGGCGGAGTGACTTACCAGTGCTTCACCAAGATCGGTCCTTTTTTACTATGCATTTATTTCCTGCCCCATTTCTCCAGCCAGTCACCCAGATCTTCTTCAGTTATTCTTTGGTTTCTATGTTAATATTAACGTTTATAACAATAGAGTGTAGTAGATTATATGCTTTATTTTTATAGAATAAGTAAATATATGTGCGCCTGGCTGGAATCAACTCAAAAATTGTCTCAGCAATTCGGATTGTTAGAAATCCTCGCAAAAACTGACAGCTTAAAATTTACATGAAAAGTACGTGGCTTAAAGCGGCGGCGGGCGTCGGGGACGTGTTTTTACCTAAGGCCTTAACTGCTCACTCTTTATTCAAAATTGGCTTCGAGGGTTATTGGCTAAAGAGATTATAAAATTTGTTTCGAAGGATTGGATCCAAACCTTTCTCAATTATTGCAGACGGGAAAAAAGGTTTCGTTGCGTCAAAAGTACAAAAGCACCTATCTGATAGTGGTGGAGGTAGGTAAATACAATTATACCTATATTTTGTTAGAAACAATAAATGTAAATATGCTTAATATCAATCAAACATGTGACATTATGTGTTTTAGATGCCAGTAACAAATGGACAAATATTTTGTTGTTACTACCGACCATGTCTCAACTCGCGTGACGTTTTACGAATAAAACTATCGCATGACTTCCATACTCCATAAACTTCGCGTTTATTAATGCCTTGGAAAACTTTTTATATCTGGCAAAACTTTTATTATGATGTATCTGTACATATGTATATTTTTTTTATATGCATAGTATTTTGTATGTCTACCTTTAAAGTTTCTAGATAAAAGTTTATTTAATCATATCCTAGTGTTAGCCATGACCACACTTGTATTGCTATAAACTACCAAATACACCAAATGTAACCGCGATGTTGGTTGACCTCGATTAATACCTACCTAACCTACCTAGTGTTTGGTGATAATTTGTGTGCACATGCGTTTTTTGTGCATAATTTTGTAGGAAGCATCTCGTCATAGTGGGGTCGGATCTGGCGGACAACCAGACGGTTTCTGTCAGGAGCGCTCTGGTGGAGAAAGCGGTTTCCCGGGGCAAAGCGGTGAGTGAAAGCGCGTTTAACACTTTGCCCTGGAGTAGACACACTCGTGACGGCGTGCAGAATGACACACCGTGAGGCAATCCTAAGGGCCACGGCCAGGGTTGCTCAAGTCGTTGAGCGGAGCCCACGGCTGGATCTTAAGGTGGCTCTGTACAAATCCTAAGCCTTATTCTAACTGAGAGATCCAGCCTCATAGTAGGAGGCACTCGCATCGGCATCGAGCTCTCGATGAGGTATCTGGGGCTCGTATTCGATGGTCAATGGGACTTCGGACATCACTTCCGAGGTCTGGTTCCCAAGTTGGTTGGAGCAGCGCGGTCGCGGCGCGCGTTAGTGTGGAAGTACTCTCGCTCGATACCATGATTGCGGCAATGGAGCGGAGCGAGAGTGCGTGGTACTCTGCCGTCTTCTTCTGAGAGCAGGTTATGCTTGCAAGGGAGATAGTGGAGCGTGACAGGAAGAGGTGTAGAACTCTCCTGGGCCCGCCAGGCTCCGGACCTCCGTCTTCCATAAGCACAGCCTGAGGGTGACAAGAATGGTAATGAGACGCGTCGCGGAGCGCGCGCGCCCTTTCGAGAGCACACAGGGAACATGGGGGTTCCAACACAGGAGGGGGTCATCAACCCGACGTAGATGGCCCGGAGTACGTCAGCGTGAAAGGGATTTCCTTTCTAGGGTACACCTGGTTCCCCGGCTACTGGCACCCGAGACGGCGTACGGTTTTTGGTGGGTTTGAATCCGACATAGCCACCGGTGAGTGGTATCCGAGGGGATTTCCACACAGAAAAAAAAGGAGGTACTGACCGAACTTTTTTTACGAGAATTGGCCTTTAGGTGTATAAATGTCAACCAATATTTTAATTTATGTTGTGTACAATTTAAACTTAAACTTGATTAGGCTTTCATTATTTGTACATATGAAAGAATCGACTGGTGGATTTGCTGAGTTCGTTAGGTGGTTAGACTATTTAGAACGTATTGTTTGAGTCTTGGAAGCTCAGAAGCAAGGTTATTTGTCTTGCCTTGACTAGAAAGGAGATATGTATTTTACTTACACGTTCATTATAAAGAGCATTGATCTGTATTTTCTTAGATGGCATTACATTGACATTCTGGTACCTTAAGATATGAAAGTAGTTCCCTAAAAGTAACTAATTTAGAAGGGCTGCGTAATTTAATAAGAATAAAGTAGACACTTGCGTTACTTCTGGTCCACAAACTAAAAGTCGCTCAGCGTGCAATGATAAGGGCTATGCTTGGCGTTTCTCTAAGGGATCGCATCCAAAATGAGGTGATCCAGCGGGGAACCAAGGTCATCGACATAGCCCAAAATAAACTGAAGTGGCAGTGGGCTTGCCATATTAGCCGCAGAACCGACAACCATTGGTTGAAACGAATTCTTGAGTGAAGACCGCGTCTCGGCAAACGTAGTGTAGGATGTCCACAGCCCAGGTGGAGTGACGATTTGAGCAAGATGGCTGGCAATAGTTGGATGCAAAAAGCCAAAAATCGATCGAAGTCTCGTGCAATGGGAGAGGCCTATCTCTAGCAGTGGACTGCGATAGGCTGATGATGATGATGATGAAGAATTAAGTTATCCTAAGAAATTGTCTCCTTCTTATATGTATTTGGATGTATAATATTTATATAGTAGATAATCCCAATGGTGTAACCACATTTATATACTTGATTTACATAGGTACCTACATACCTCAAAGCTAACATTTCTATTTCAAAGGACACATAGACCATCAGAGCAAATATAGATCGATATCCCACAAATAAGTATACTCAGGAGAAGACGGACCTATTACACTCAATGTACCATTTTACAATTGAAAATTGTACTAGTAAAATGTCAAAGTATCAAAAGTTAGACCTTATTGAACTTAACGATAAATCATAGAAAATAAAGTTCAAAGTCAACTTTACTCGTATATTGCCGACTGTTATTGTCATTTCTAGCTAGCGTATCGTAGTTTTGCCTATTTCATTGGTATAATTCGCCACATACACATACACGCTAGTACTCGCTACCTGCGAATAATATTTATTGGTACTCCAATACGCTTAAGTAAAAAAACAATATCAAAAACTTAGACAATATTAAGGCTTAAATTATTAACACAATAAAGGTTATGTAGTAATTAGGTATAATTTTAATAAAAACTTAGCACTGAACTAAAAACAAAACAGAGACAATAAATGATGTGAAACTGCACGTTGGTCGCGGCAGTTACCTTTGCATTACATATACATAATCTATCTGTGATGTGTCATGGAAAGTGAAAAGTTTATGTTATTTTCCTTTTACTACATACATCAGCATTACCTCATTTTGCGGGTTGTTAAAAAAGGACTGTCAGAAAGGACCTACCGATATGCAGTCGATTGCTGTGCCACTGAGCTATATCCTTTTAAGCAGATACAACCAAGTATCTAATTAAAATTAATTAATCCTAAGTGCATAAA